TTTGTGGCTGAATTATTGTGAAATTGATTTCTGTAATTTTTTTTTTTTCAGACATTGCACACAATTTCTGAGGACAGCGGGGAGCATGGCAACCTTGGAACTTATGAGGATTCTCCCCCGACTTCTCCAAAGCTATTTTCTTCTCCTGCCCAAAGAGTCTCATCCGACAACAGCACCAGTGGTGATCCTCCAACGAACAGCAGTAATGAGTTTAGGGATGAGTCAAACCACAGTAGTCCACGATTAGCATCACGGACTTCACCTCCTAGTTCACCTGTTCGTCGAGGCCAGAAACGCCCTTCATATGCTGCCTTCAAAGAAAACCCGTCGTTACCAGCAAGTGCACCTAAGATAGTTGACAAGTAAACGTTTCTATATTAACAAAGTTGGTGCTAATTTGTTGTCATGATGTTACAGATCCCTAGACAGACTGTGGACAGGTGGAAAAAGGTGCGACTTGAAGGACACTTAGATGACGAATTCAGCGGTGACAAAAGTACTGGTGATAAAGCTCAAGATAACTCAAGAGATGCAACCAATTATACAACCCCAACAGCTCCAGATTTTGAGGTAACTAATCAAGAAACAGAAGACTTTCAGGAAGCAAGCAGGAACAGTGACAATGACAATGTGCGGATTTCTGACAGTGGTGGATATGAATCAGATACTCCAAGTGAAAGTGGTGACAGTACTGGCCAAATTGAATTGAGTTGGAGTGATGATGGTAATGTTTCAAGTGCAGGAAACTCTGATTTTGTTGGTGAATTTAGTGATGAAAGTGAAGTGGACTCTAACTGTGGTGATAATATAGATCCTTTTGAAGTTGATAGCTTGTACCCTGGATCTGAAAAGACAAAAGATAAAGCTATTTTTGAAATGGCTAGTCTTTACTTATGTAACAAATTATCAAAAAAAAAGCCCTCATAGATATTTTAAAACTTTATGTTACAAGTCTTCTTGCACCTAATGTTATGCCCCGCTCAGTTTATCACTTATTACAATATGTAAACAATTTTTCATTGCCCTTGAATGAGACAGAGCATTACTACTGCCGTCCTTCACTGCATCCAGTTGAATCAAAATCATCTTGTGCTTGTTGTGATTCAGTTGATATTGGAGTCTTTTATGAGCTGCCTTTGGAGGAGATCTTAAAGTTTTTGTTTGAACAGCGTGGTCATGAAGATTTAATTGATACATATTCAGAAAAAAGAGTGGGAAATGAAAACATTAGTGATGTTGTGGATGCATCAAAATATCAGAGAGTTTGGAGTGGACTATCAAACAAGTACAAATTGACACTCATCTTAAATACAGATGGTGTTAGCCTTCATTCAAGTTCAAAGGCTAAGTTTTAGCCCTTAATGTTCACCATCATGGAAGTTCTGTCACAGTTCCAATTTGAGTGAGGTGGGTTTGGTTTAACAAATCTAGATTAGCAGGTCCAAGCTGGGCACCACCATTGGAAAGGACAATATTTTAAGAATTGAAATTAATTATTAATAAAGTTAATTAGAAGAAAAACAGTAAATTTAATACAGAGCACAGAATTATTTAATTGATCATCAGAAGACAATACAAAAACAAAGGACACATTCACAAAACACTCTTGCAGATAAACAAACCCAACAGGTAATTGAAACAAAGCCGAACCACATTCATTAGAGCCACGTTCAAACAAAACGATTTACGCAAGAAAGGGCGTTGGAGAATTGATCACTAATCTCATCATGCAAACGATGAACTATTATAGCCAAGTTAAAACAAAGTACATGTAACAGAGACACGAATACATTTGTTATATTCTTGAAATCAAGAATCAACACTATACGAGTGAAATCTCACAACTGAACAGCATTCAACACTTTAAACCTTTTACACTACTTCATACAAGCGAAGAGACGTTGAACTGATGAACCACATTTATACAAATGTACAGCAACAACAAAGGCAAAGTCCTAATACAAACTCTATACAATCAGAGTAACACGGGTTAACACACTGCAAGAATACACACTAATTACCTGGGCCCAGACATGAAAATTATGGTGACATCACACACACACACACACACATTACATACAGTAGCGAGCAGCACGCTCACTACCAACGAGTCCAAGGGGGAACCCTAGCCGAGCCGAGCACGACCGACTTGAAGGGCTTGACAGAGTTCATGATGATGTTGACGGTGAACATCCCGGAAGGCAGACGGAGGGCGCTTAGCACATGGTTACCACGAGCAGGGCGGGCCGATCAGGGGCAGCTTCGCACCCGGACAAAACACCCTGGACAAACAGGTCACATTAACATTTGCGCTGGACCGTCGGGACGCAGCCAGACTCCTGTCGCACACCCACCTTTCGGGTGTTTGACGACGACAACCACATCATGTGTTGCACCGATGGCGAGGGCTTCACCGCAGACAGCGTCGCTCTCGACGTGTACGAGCTGACGACTCAGGAACGACTGCCGCAGCGCCCAAGGTCAACATCAGCCGGACCGATCTGATTCTTCTTCCTACTCATCTTCCCTGCGCCTCTAGCCGAGGGAGCCCGATGGTGTCGGAGGGGTTGCCTACTTCACTGGCGCTTGCCACGGGAACCGTGACAGTTCCACCAAAACTTCGCTCATCATTTACTATTGTGTGGGGTATTTGGTTTGACAAAAAGTACAAACCTGACATGAACTTGTTCCTCAAACCTTTTATCGTTCCTCTTGTTAAACTTCATAAAGATGGTGGTGTTTCATGGAAGGATCCTGTGACTCGTAACTCATGTTAGCCCTGTTCGTGGTCCCCTTATAGTGGCTGATGCGCCAGCAAGAGCTGCAGTCCTGAAAAGGCAAGAACATCAAGCAAAGTACGGCTGTAACACCTGTTAGCAGAAGACTAGTAAACTACCTGCACCTCCCCCCCACTGAACCAGGCGAAAAGAGGATAAGGAGGAAAAGGCGCTTTACGTTTAAAGAAGAAGCTGCCATGTTAAGATCAAATGATCGAATGCTTGCATGTGGAAGAGTAGGTACTTCTATTGCACCAAAGAGAGGAATCGAAGGTTTACCTGTGATAAAAGATATACCATCTCTTGACCTTTCAACTTGTGTTGTAGCCGAATGTATGCATTGTGTTCTATGTGGTGTAGTTCGACAAATAAGTTCATTGTGGTTGTTTGAGAAAGGTCCTTGGTGCATGGCAGATCATTTAGTTGAAATTAACAGATTTCTGGATCAGGAAATACATCCATCAGACAATGTTTCAAGGCTGCCTAGATCTTTTGAATGTTTTGCTCAAGTTAAAGCTAATGACTTCCGCTCATTTCTGCTTTACTTTTCACCTGTCATTGTTACTCCTTATTTGAAGGATGAGTACCACCAGCATTGGATGCGTTTTGTTCAGGCCATTTTTTTTTTACTTCTAACAGAATCAATTTCTGAGAATGATTTACTAGTAGGTGAAACCCTCCTTCGCTTATTTGTTCGTGACAGTAGCCAACTATATGGTGATGAGAATTATGTTTACAATGTTCACAAGCTACTTTACCTAGTCCTTTATGTGCGTCGTTGGGGTCCTCTATGGTCCACTTCAGCTTTTACCTTTGAAGATGTCGATGGTACTCTTGCATCCATGATACATGGCTCCAAAAATGAAGGCAGAGAGCTCTAAAACCAGCTGACTCTTGCTCAGGGAAACCATATGTTGAAGAATAAGATTGCAAGTGATACCTTAATAAGTAATGGTGTATCTGTTTTAGGGAAACCCCTTGCCCGTAATTTAACAGAGGTGGAAATGGCTTGTCTTCAAGAATTGAATACAGATACAGAAGGTCTCAAATGCTGTGGGAGAGTTTTAGTTGGAAGGGAACTATTTTCTTCTGAAGAGTATAACAAGAATTTCACGAGACGTAATTCGTATGTGGAAATCAAGCATGGTGCTCGGAATGTGTATGGTCGAATTGCTTTCTTTTTTAAATGTTCTGACTCTGTCTTTTGCTTCCTGTCTGTGTACAAAGTTCTACATGCAAAGTTTTTCACCGAGCTTCACTTACTCGAATAGCTCACATCATTCCAGTTGAAGACAGTGGAGAATTAATTGTGTGTAGGGTGAAGGACATCATTCAAAAACTTATACAAGTGGGAAATTATCTCTGCTTCAGACCTAACTCTATTGAAAGAAACCTTTAGACCAGTAACCGTTTGTTTTTAGTATGGTAATCTGATCTAATATGACATATATGACACTATTCTCACTCAACTTTCAATTGTAACAATTAACTTTTATTTGATATTTTTATGTCTAAGCTATTGGCTTATTTTTATTATCATGAATGGATCACCTTTTAAAGGTATCATTTGCTAAAAATCAGTAACAGAGTATATGTGAGTGCGTTTTATTGATATTTTGTATCTTTATAACAAAGTTTTCACAAAATCGAAAACGCCCTTTCTGTTTGTCTTAACAATTCCTATCCCACCGCACCACCACATTCCGCGGCCATGGATGCCCTAAAGTCGCGCTTTGGCAAAGCGGACATGGTTGTCATGGAAACCCTGCGGAAATAACAGTGAGGCGCCATCTCATCCAAGAATCCAGACGAATCGCAACACGCCCGTGATAACAGAAGCTGCGTGTGAGGGATGGCTTATGGTACGTTTTGTTTTATAGTAGTATACGTTGGCGGAGGGCACCTGCCTTCTTTGCCTCTTCTCCCGGCGCCGGTCAAATGGAGTTCCCGATATCATTTATGTGGTTCATACACGGAGATTCTCACGTCATGTATGAAGTTACAATTGTAATATATGGTGCAAATATGAAAAAGATTACGTCATATATGGGTTTTGCGACATCGTATATGGGGCTGGTATTGTCATCCATGTCGAATATTACGTCATATATGGACTGTGGTACACCATATATGGAATTGAATTCGTCATACATGGGTTTTGCGACATCGTATATAGGGCTGGTATTGTCATATATGGTACATATAAGGAGGCCCCCACCCCCAATCCATATATGTGTCATATATGGAGCTGATTTCTTCATATACGATGCTGGTTTGTACATATATGAAGCATATATGGACCCCAGGTCGTCATATATGGGAATTACCCCATCATATATGCATCGTATATGAATCATATATTCACATATATGGAACATATATGAGTCATATAGGAAACATATATGATCATTTTCTCGCGGGAGATCGCTCCTAACTCCCCTCGGGAAAAATTTATTGCTGCATCTGACACTTGCAAGCCTATCAGTGCCCGCCTTGGTGAATGTAGCACCCAACAGTTTCATGAACGCCATTTGATCCTCAAAACTCTATTTAAGATGTGGTGTGAAGGCAAAGAGGTCGTGTTGCTTGAAAAGTCAAGTAAATTTTTCACCGAAATGTCTAAGTTTCAGTTAGTAAACAAAACTGTGTTTACATTACTTTTTTTATGACAAGAGACGAATCCATCCCCCTATTCCCTCACTCCATGTGTTGTGGAAATTTTGAAGACAAATGGAATGACTGGTACGTAATTGCCTTCACCTTAAAATTTGTTTGTCACATTATATTTTAACCAGTCTTACTTTTTTTTTTGACTTGAAGGTGCAAACTCCTCAGCTCTTGAAAACGCTGGTCTCGAAACAGCTGTTAAAGACAGTCAGGATAGAACTCGAGAAGAGGCAGTTGTCGGAAGGGATGGTATAGAAAAAGCGGCTATAACTGGAGATGCAGATGTCGAAACAGATGTTATAGACAACGAGGATAGAACAGAAAAAGAGACAGATGTCGACAGGGATGGTAGAGACATAGATAGTGGAACTGAAGAGGAAGATGTTGACATGTATGGTAAAGACAATGAGGATAGAACAGAAAAGGAGGCAGGTTTCGAAAGGGATGGCAGAGACCCTACGGATAGAACTTTAGAAGCGACGGATTCAGAAGAGAGGGACACGAGAGATGAAGACACTGCAATTCCAGTCATAGTTATTGGTAAGTAGTGGAGGTGGTTCATTTGAAGTGTTGAGCCAATCCTAAAATCTAAGTCTAATTGGGCTGGTATTAAAGTAACTCCATTGTTTAAAAATTTCACTGTAAAAAAAAATAGAGGGAATTTTCCCCTCTCCGCGTGGCAACGCTCCTTTGCCATCCCTAGTAACACAAAACTGTCGCACATAGTGTTATTTTTATCTATCGTCGTATTATTATGACGATAACGAAAATCCAAAAGTGATGGCTTTTCCATAGTCAGACGATTGTTGCTGGTCTATCAAATTTAAACCATCTACCATTTTGTTGTACTTTTATCGATTCCTGATCGAATCCACAACAGTGGTATTTTGCTTCCATTACGATAGCTGGCCGATAAAGAATTTCGTTTCGAGGAAAAAAGATAGTATACCGATAGAATCATTTTTCTCATTTCGTATATCGCACCGA